ATTATATAATTATTCAGTTACTTGATAACGCAATATGTAGATAACTTACCAATACACGTGTAACCATTGCTATCCAAAACAAAACCACGTTGACAATCACAATAATAAGCGCCTAATGTATTATTGCATAGCTGTTTACACTTATGGCTCCCCACACATTCATCAATATCTTTTAAAAAAGAACATTTATAAGAATAAAATGTGATGGTATGTTGCTTTCCCATTATCGCTAAGCAAGACGTTTTATTGTACATAATAGATAACGTAAACAATTTCCATAAACAATATACCTGAACCAACAGGAGCGTGTCTCTTTAAAGTCATAAGATCAAATGATTTGTATGTATTACTTCCGAATATGGAACAATGTTACAGTGAGCCATATACAAATAGCCTAAAATAAATACAAGTCATTTTAATGACACAGTCCCCCTCTATTAACTTTAAAAATTGTTTTTTGACATATATTGCTACATGCATAACATATGCAATCAAATTGGATATATAAATCACTGGTCATGTGGCCACATAAATTGTTTCTGAATGATTTTGCAGTGCAAGTAATTGAGATTGAATAATACACTAATCAACTATCATAAAAATCCGGCATTCCAAAATTTCAAATTTGTATCACAACTGAAGTACATGTTTCCAGTATCGTGGGCATGCAGGCATGACACTCTTTCTAACAACGTTTCAAAGCATGTGTCAGTTACAGTTTACCCACACCCATAATCGTAATATGCGTCCCAGGTGGAAATATTAACATTGTTTCATTTTGCAACCACACTCACACATTATATCTTAAATTATCTATTTACTTTTTTAATTTATTATTTTTTTTTATTATTTATAATTTTCGACTCTGGACATTCAATAATGCTTTATAGTCCACCATGGAATGAAAGCATGTCCAAATACATTTTCAACAAACAAGATGGCTGCCAGTCGATAATAAATAAATGGCACGGACATGTAATCGAAATGTGTTGATGTACGTGCCAAATGTTCAAGAAAATAGTCCGTTAGTATTATGACCAAAAATCAATATGGCCGAACGCGAAACGAATTGTCATGGACATGTATTCTAACATGTATAAGGTTTGAGCAAAAACAAAGCATGTTTAATAACAATCCTGACAATATAGTTGATACATGTTATTAGGATGGAGCAAAAATACGACGGAAAAGATTAATTGGCAATTGGCAAATTAGTTAAATAATGTGAATATAATAAAGTGTTTTGTTTTAACGGTTTACATTACGCAGACTTACCTACACAACTGGTTGAGTCAACGTCAAGTTGGTAGCCAGTAAAGCAGGAGCATACAGCATTTCCACTTACGCTTTGGCACAGATGACTGCAACCTGGATTATGAGTCTCGCATCCATCATGATCTGAAAATTAGTAAAGACATAAATCATATATTTCAGTGGATGACCTGAAATTATTTGAGATATATGATTTTTATATTATAACATTAAATTATGTAGTATGGACTACCAACTGTGGGGAATAATGGGCGTTTTTGTGTGCATTCTATCGAAACGTTTGATGATCATGTCAAATCAAAGTAGCCTGTTGGTTGAGATAGCTCTACTGTTAGCAATGTACATTTAAATTAATTAAATAACTGAAGATATCATTTGAAAATGAACAATATATATAGTATCAAAGCAATCGGACTTGCTGTTTTCAACAATTCGAGAATATCACTTTTTACCAAAAAAGACAAAATATTCATCAGAATTAGATGATTGAAGATATCACCACGAAATGAACAAATATGCGAAAGGTATACATGAGGTACTTATATTTATAGTATCAAAGCAATCAGACTTGCGGATTTTAACAAGAAGTCGAAAATGTCACTTTTTACCAAAACTTTTCACACAAATTAGAGAATTGAAGATATCATCATGCCAATGCGAGAGGTCCACATGGATATTTGGTTTTTAACAAGAAGTCAAACATATATCACTTTTTACCAAAAAGTACAGAATATTCACCAAAATTAGAGATATCATGAAATAAACAAATCTGAGAGAGGTCTACTTGTAGTACTGCTTGACTAAGTCGACAGCGAAGCTAAAAAAAACGTAATTATCAAATCGTAACCAAAAATTTATAAATACTTGGTTTACTGGTTCTACTGAATCTTCAGGCTTATTGACTAATTGATTCGATATTCGAATAGATTTTTTTGGCAAAATTCACAAAAATATTTTTACCTGAGCAGGTTTTACCATTGGCATCCAAGGTATAATTGGAATTACGCGCACAGTAAAAGCTTCCATCTGTGTTGATGCAGTGTTGTTCACAGCCATCAGTACCAGTGTCGCACTCATTAATATCTAGAGAAGAGATAAGTTTGTCAGTGAGTAGAGGAACATGTAATAAACAAACAACTTTACAATCGAAATCTGGTTTTAGTTTTTATCATAATTGCTAAAAAAATTACGTAACAAATTTAGTGCATAACGAACGACGGGTTGTACGCACTAATGCACAAGACGCATGGGAGTCCAATATTTATATTACCTTGACACTCTGTTGCAGTATTTGATGCATAGCCTTCAAAACAGTGGCATTCATATGAACCAGGAGTATTAAAGCATTGTTGTGGACACTGGTGGGTATCATAATCACATTCATCAATGTCTGATAGTGCATAGACAATGCAAATGAAAAACGTATGTTAGTATTAACATGAGAAAAATTTATTCGACGGAATATCAAACACAAATAATTTTGCACAACACACGTATTTTATGTATAACTCGTTATTATATTCTAGCATGTCGTGATTGTGTTCATACTTACCATTACATGTTTTACCGTTTGAATCTAATACAAACCCGGCTTCACATGAGCAAACGAAACTCCCCAGTGTGTTTTGACAGACTTGATTACATCCACCATTATGCACAGTGCACTCGTCTCTATCTGGGATAAGATACATGTTGAATGAGATTGTAGGTAAATATGATTGCGTCAATGTCACTTCTCTCTTTCAGGTTTTTTAGATGAGACAGTTTTGGAGTCTAACTACCACAACTTCAGTATCTATATTTTTTTTAACAACAATGACTACACATACACTAACGTACACATGTATAACATTCACACACTGAGTAATAACGCTCTAAGGCTCAAATTCTATTTGAAAATAGAGGCATGGCCCAACATTCATAACATTTAACATATTATATAAATCAGATAAAACCCTCATGTACTCCAGGTCGGACTTTACACCGAAAATATTGTATACTATAGAATAAACTCTTACCATTACAGTGACCAGAAGAATCACTTTGGTACCCTTCATAGCAAATATATATATATGAACCAACGGTATCAACACATAACTGGTCACAAGGCTGTATAACAGTAGAGCACTCATCTATATCTGTTAAAGTTTTCGGATTAAAATTAATGAATTTATAAAACAATACCATTGTTTCAAATAGATTTACAGTAGAATTGTAATAATTGAATATTATACTCAGATACTACAATTTATTACCATTACATATTTTCCCGTCGGATGACAATACGCTACCGACTTTACAGTCGCACTCATAACTGCCTATTGTATTTAGACAAAGTTGTTCACAACCACCATTGTGGTATAGACATTCATTGACATCTGAAAAAAAAAATATATATATATATATAAGAAATGCTATGTAGTATTGATTTATTAAATACTATAAACACGATAATGTAAAATATTTGCTCTGGAATAAATATTGTAACTTGTAGAACTCTAGTA